CTTGGCCGACCGGTGGTACGTCGAGCCACTGAAGTGGTCCAGGTAATCACTCGAAGACCCTCAGCGTACTGTTGAGGTTCCTCTTAGGCATTCAGGCCTGGGTATCAGTTCGGAGGGAGGCCACGTATGGCGTCGTCGTTGCAAAATACACCTCGGGTTCATCGTGACTACAATCCTGTGTTCTTCGTAGGAATGTGTGTTGGCCAACTCCCAGAGCAATCTCGTATTAGTAGTCCCCTCAACCTCCCCCGCCGAGACAGGTGACCATGTCCCCCCAGCCGGCTGGCCTGTCGATCCCTCCATCACCTCAAGTCGAGACCAGGACCAACAGGTGGCCTTTCTACTTTGCAGGGGCTGAGGGCAAGGGGAATATGTTGTTTCCATCTGCCGGGGCTACGGCCGTTTCACGGGAGGCTACCGCGCCGGGCCGACAGGCAAGTCGAGGCTTTTCGGTGTGCCTGGCAGCTCCCCATTGTTCAGTTCTTCGCGGCCCTGACCCCGAATACGCAGTTCCCGGGGTTCGTCCCACCTCCGAGAGAGCTTGAGGGTCGTGTTGTCAGAAGGATAAGAATTGGCATTGACGGGACGGTGAAGTCCATCGAGGATCTGTGAGTTCAATATAGCTCTCTGTTCTTCGTCTCAAGTGTGAACTTTGGGTTAGAACTGGCCGTGACGATACCCGACCGGCCGACGTCGCTGAGGCTCCAGCAGTCACCAGGACTGTCACAGCTAGTGTCACGAGGTGGGGCCGGGCCAGCCTTGGTCGGTACTGATTTCGTTGTGGTTGCTAGTACTCCACAAGATAACGGCGTGAGCGCCTCCGCCCAGGTTGAGTCGGTTGTTGTTACTTCGTTGGATGTGGGAAGCAAGCCTCCCCTGGCTCCGAGGTTCCAGCCACAGACCAAACAGCTCCGGACCAGTCTTACGACCACTACCATCAACAGGCCAGCCTCGGCCCACCGCACTCGAGTCCAGGCGAGGATTTGGGGGCCGGTAGCGGGTGAGTAGCCTACCGTATGCAGTTGGAGGAGCTCAACTTTAGCA